CCTGTTTTGATAGCGAGCCTATTCCCATATGTTTCTTCTTCGTTTAGCAATAAAGTCTCTGATCGAGCAATAATAATAAGTTTTTATGTGAGTATGTAATATCTTTCCAGACGATCATCCGATCCCAACCTGGTACACATTTTCTGGGTGCTCAAAAGAACTCGAGTTATTCTGTTGGTTCGGTCGTCGTAAGATACCGGATAATACCGTTATTGAATGCTACTCAGCCAGAAAATGAAATTATTTTTACAAATAATTTCCGTTATTGGCTGCTTCGCATCCAATAACTATATATTATCACTCATAAACAGTTATCATATACTTCACGATTATCCCACTGACTAAATTATTCTTGGTAGTTTTCATGATGCTTTATTTTTGTCTTTTACAACTCAACTTTATTTCGGCTACAATTTCAAAGACTATTATCTCAACTTTCATGCCAATTTAAGCGGATTTTTGATGATAATCAGATGCCTTGTTTTCATCTTTTCCCTTTCAGCACAATCACCACAATCCTTTTATCATTTATGATGAATAAATCTCTAATTTCATACTTAGCTCGTTTGAATCGTTACTATCATTCTAATCATGCTCATTGCTTCATTCTTTTCACCTTCCGCAATTTGTTTGCTTGATTATACGGTCATGGCAATATGGATTCAACTAATGCTTCATGGATATTGAGTAAAAACACAATAATAAAATTGCTGAGTATATACTAAAATTAACATTGATATTATACTAGAGGTTGGAACAAGATTTCAAGAACCGAATTGGATTTGCATGTACTGTATTTGAAAATCGGTAAATATTTAAACCGAATTTAATCGAGTTATGTGCAATGCATATTATTAGTTAATCAGTAATAATTCTAATTGGTCAAAATGAAAAGGTTTAAATTAAAGTTATTTTTGCTACTCTTTTTTATGATAAACAGAAAGCAAACCCGAATTTTAGTTTTAAACCCGATTTATTTGAGTCATTCTTAGTTTTATAACCGAATTATATAATATTACAAAACAAGCTTTAGTTTAGAGAGAAATAACTAAGAATTGTTTTGGAAGTGAGGCTGAACCAAGCTTAGAATTAAAATATTATTGAACTGATTTAATCGGTATTAGAGATCAGAGCAAATTAATGCCCGGGACCCAGAACCTGAATTTCGATCCCCGTGAAAGCGTATGCGCAAGACAAGCCTCATCGAACGATTACCCCGTAGATCTCATTGAGAAAAAGACACTTATATGGCTTGATAGTTGTCAAGGTAATATTACCTTAATTAGTTAAGTGTGTGGCCGTGTTAAATGAGATGTAGATGTGTCAATAAGTAAAGAACGATGCTGCACGATATAATAGTGTGAAAATTTTTTATTTGGCTTGCCTTCTTCGTCCTTCTGTAAGATTCTTTAATAACGAAGGCTGTGTGTAAGGGGTAGTTATTAGTTAAATAAGGTGGAACGGCTTAGGTTTAATGGCAGTGAAATGATTCAATTTTATTCTTTTCTTTTCCCTGTAATTCTTATAAATAATAGGTTAAATTTGTGCAAAAGAAAAAAAAAAAATTTAATATTTCTTCAAAGTCCCTAAGAAAATTACCAACTGAATCTTGAACGCCTTTTAACTTTACCTTCAAACTCTATAACGTAACTCAGCGGTTGCCTTTGACCTTGCCGAATTGAAACCGCCTTACCTTAACTGCTGAGTGACGATGTCTTTCTCGAGCGACAATCCGTCGCAAGTTTCTCTTTTTTTTTTTTGGTATGTATTCCGTTCATTTAGCCCATAACAGTAGTCAAGATAACCTTTTAAGGCACCTTGCTCTTTATTGAATTTGTTCCATGGGTGCATCTCTGTCGAATAGATGAAATAATGGATGTGATCAAACAACGTTTTGGAAAGACCTGCTTTCTTCAATACGTTACATAAAGGATAGATTATTGATGCATTCACCCCAGCAATTCTAACCTATCTATTTGAAATATCTTTTTTTTTTTTTGCATAGAGTGATATCAATCGCCTAGAAGTTATTTGGAAAAAAAAGGAACAGAAACCTCTTCACGATGCGACCAATACCATCCTGGTCCAAGACGACGGCCAAGAAGATGAGGGTTCTTCGAAAAAAAAGAAGGAAATAGGTGCTGCCTCGTTAGTGAAGCAGCAGAAGTTGCCACGTAAGATTAATTTAACTTTAAATAATGGATATTAATAGTTGCTATTTTATTTTTATTAATTTTTATTAAATTTGATATTTTATAGACTCTATAACACGTTCTGAAGTTTATAAAAGCGCAAGCATTCAGAACGTTAAGAGTGATGAATTCCTCTCTCTTCTCGGCGAGCCATTACCGGAATGTTTTAGAGATTATTTGGCAAAAAAGAAGATGCTGAGAATGGTGTCCTTATTTCTAGTAAAGTTCATACTGTACTAGAAATTAAGTGACAGAAATGTGCGTCCGGCCTAACTGATGAGGATAAAGGCCAGTTGTTGGACTATATCTATGGTTCAACAGCAGCCATCACGTCAGCTATTTTCCGCATCCCTCTCAGACGGAAAATTCTTCTTTATGGTGATTTACGACAAGGGTGTTCATATATATGAAGAAAAACCTGACCTTTAAGAAAGGGTTTACTCTTTTTTGGAATATGATCGCTCAAGGGTCACCATATACGAGAATTGTCGAGGATTAGGAATGGGTAAGTTAAACCATAAATATATTAGTATATTATTCGATCTAGATATCTCCATTCGATTATAGTTGTATTATACAATATTCTGAAATTTTATTGCTTTTGGCTTTTGAGGTACCTAAATTGAGACAAAGCGTTATATTTATTTTTTAAAACTTATTCACTTTTTTTTTTTTTTTTTTTGTAGTAAACGCGCAAAAACATTCTTTTTTTTACCCATTTAACCCATTTTATTGACCCAATTTAAAAAAAAAAAAATTACATCGTTTTATTTGATGTTCTATGATTATTGCTGCATATTTTGTAATAAATTAAAATTATAATAAAGTTTGTATAAGTTAAATACGAATGTGAAACGAAAATGATGTAATGATTAATCTTTTACTCTTAAGAAGATAACAATATAGAGAGGCCCATACAATTGTTGTTAAATCACATGAAATACATACTGTACAAGTGACTCTCGATATAAAAAATCTTCGATATAAGAAACTCTTGGTATATGAAAGATTTTTTAAATTAATCGAAAAATTGTAGATATACGAAAGATTTTGGCCGGACCCGGCAACTTTCTTATATCAAGAGTTACTTGTATTAAACTCTAATAAGAACGGCTATTATCTGAACTTGTGAAATAAAATATAGAAATTCAATTCAAAACTGTATTAATTCTTCACAAGATGGCTTTCCCTTCTTTTCGTATCGGTAATAACGGTGTTGTTCAGTTACCATTTGGGCAAGCCGTTGATATTCGTTTTCTCTATCACAAAACATCTGTTACAAAGTTCAAAGCCGAATTATAAAAGTGTTTTTCTAAATGCTGTTTCTACTATGAGTTTTATTAACTAATTACTCTATAATCACACAGTTTGTATCAAGAAAATTGGTGATTATAAAAGAGTGTGATTATATAGAAGTCTTTTTTTATAAGTTTTTTTAATAAATTGTCTCAAAAATTAATGTGATTATATGGGAGTTGTGATGATATAGGAGGTGATTATAGAGGAGGAAGACTGTACTATAATATGACTGTTAAATAATATATACTGTATAATTTTTTTTTATCGAATTCGAGATATGCACGTGACACAATTATTGTTGTGTGCATTACGTGGGTTAAAAACGATGCAAATCTTTTTTTTAGGGTCAATAAAAATGGGTCAAGTGGCCAAAAACGACGTTTTTGCTATGAATATATAATTAATAAATCAAAAATAAAATTATTGTGAAAAAGTTTAAAGCTTATTTACAATAGTCTAGTTTACAATTAAGTTTTAAAATTCTTATATTCAAATGTAATAACAAATGATAGTAAAAGCATGATTTCAGACATAAATATTAGTGGCCCGATTCAAATTTTCATAACTATTCGCGGGATATTTGACCTTTTTCATTTTTTATATAGGATTTATTATCACTAATTAGAGTTTGGAAACCGGTTTTAACGTATGAAAAATAAAGAACTTTATCACTGATTATAAAAGAAGGATTACATTTCGTAGATACGACGTTGTGCCCACGACCTGATTAATACATAAGTATTTCTCCAATTATTTCAATACTGCAATAAGTGTAGTGATAAGTTATTATGTTTACGTATCTTATTATTCGTGTTGAATTTAATCAATGTAGATAATTTCTTATTCTTTTATGTTGATCAATTGAATTATTCAAAGATAAGATGACACTTAATTTGCTTACATTAATTTTTTGTATTGATTTAATTGCTATTTCAATCGGTTATTCAAAGGTAAGCTGACACTTATTTAATGACACCGAGGGAAAACCAAACT